GGGGGCAGGGGGGAAGCTCAGGTCCAGAAAAAAAACAAATGCCTCTCGCCTCCACCCACCCCTGCACCCAATTCAGGTTTTTGGTGCAAAGGTCATCGTTATCGTTTTTGGTACAAAAGAAGACAAAAAGCCTCCTAAGCTGTAACTTTGCAGACTACCACGTTAACAGGAAAAGCTTGAGGCTGTTAATACTTCAGCAATGCTGCAGCTTAAATACTTTGTTGGGACTGAAAAGGGAGTGGCTTCAAGGTTTGTTTTAATGATGACCTTTGGCATTCGTAAACCCACGGACAGATGTTTTCGTTATTAACTTACTTAAATGCAAGCTGGGCAGTTGGTAGCTTAACAAGATTCTGGGGTGCTCTCCCCCCCAAAAAAAAACCAAACCACACCATCAGGTGAAAGCACCTGGAAGCATTCAGCTCTTTTGGTACTCATCTGGCTAAAACTTTTGACTCTACATACAAGTGACAGTAGCCTGTGCAACATGTGAAGTTACAGGTTAGTTATTTGCTAATGGTGTGTGTTTCCAGTTGGTGCCACAGTTGTGGCACCTCACGAGCACACTGCTGTGCTGCTCTGCGTCCCACGCAGCAGCAGCTAACCCCTCCCCCGTCACTGGGCTGGGGGGGGCATACAGAATTCACCTGACTTAACAGTACTGACTTCTAGTGTGAGTAACACGTCATCTCATCACATTGTTGGGAAAAATGAATAAATAAAACCATGGACACAGATCTGTGATCCCCTCCTGAGCTCCTGAAACATAAGGGCTTTCTTTTGAAAGGGCACTTTTAACTTGCTTTGTGACTTAAATGCTCCTTAATTAAGAGAAGGCTTCCATATTTTTTTTTGTGGAGGTGGAGGGTTGCCATCACTTAAGTTACAATATTCTCATATGGGAAAGAAACAAATATTTAAATATGGACACTCTTTTTCCACTTACTTTCAGCCCAGTGAAAATGTGTCTCCTGTCACTTCAGAGCATTAAATATTTCTGTCGCCAGCAGGCAAGACAACACATCTTGGTAAGTCTTTGTGAAGGGGCAAGAGATTAAGGACTTGCAAGTTCTACATTTTTAGAAAGCAACTGTTCATTGTATGCCAAATATCCTCTGACATTGAACTTAATCAGGAAGTTTAAAAAATATACATACACGCACGCGCACGCGCACACACACACACACTTTCCTCAATCTCTTTCCTATTTGGTCAAAGAATGGGAGTACTCAGCGTACTTTTCATATCAATAAATAAGTCTTTCCTGCCCTCTGTTGCCAAATACAACCAATAAACTTCACTGAAACACACTGGAAGCATGTGATTTTAGTAGACAAATGAGGTATCCCTTATCTGAATACAGTATCGAGTAAAAAAATAAAAGCAAAGGGGATATTAAATACAAAAGATAAACTATTAGTTAAAATAGTAACCCTAACAATAACTTAAGGTTTTACACGCTTAATTCACTGCCTTCAAAAAGCAGCAGCATATAATTACCAGGTTTTTGTACTCTAGATGCATCTAGAAGAGTCAGTAAGTCAGCTTTGATGCTCTACTGTTGTAGCATGGTCTCTCGGTCAAAGTTGATGCAGCATTTCTGAAAGGAGAGCTGTCACTCTTCACGAGAACTAACTCCAGCTCTTGGAAGTCCTGAAGCCTGGCAACATCCTTGTCCTTTTAAAGAACAGACAGAAGTATGCATTACTCCTAAACATTGTTGGTTATTATTGTTTATAATAATAATAGCAAAAGGAAGACGTAAAAACTAAAATTCCAGGGAGGTCACACCCAATGAGAGGAATAAATAATAACAGAAGAAAAATCCTACCAG